TATTTCCCGCAATTTGCTTACACTAAACCGTTTGCAAACCCTTTAAACTGACCACTTTATGAGAGACAAGGCGACAGACTGACAAACAAGACTACACACACATTTTCACCTGTTTCGAATATGGAACATGAGTTTATTGGAGCGGATGTGACGTATTTACTGGCAACTTAAACCTCTGTGTTGCTATTTAATTGAAATATTTCGAACACATTTTTTACGTTAATTTATGATTTGAATTGAAGCTATAAATTAAATTTGGATAAAAGATTTTAGAAGATTAGAAATGTTTTTGATGTTTTATTTAATTGATTCCGTACATTGTTTGAAGCAATTTTTATTTTTATTTAGCAAATTCATCATTACTAGAGATGCACTGTAATAAAAAATTAAGTAATCACGCGTATTCGTTTAGTCCAATACCGCAAGTTGACTCCAAGCTTGCAAAAAAAAAAATTTTTTTCTTGTATGTCCTAACTCCGGTTCAAGTCCAGATCACTGATTATTTCACATGCCAATCTACATAGAGTGCCTAACCTTTTGTTTTTCTCCCATTAACACTAATCAACTACTTGTCCAATCATTGAAATGTAATCAACCACTCATTAAGCCGATAATTCTTTTCAACATGTCAGCCTGGCCGATAGCCTAGTTGCCGATGATTTAATCGGGCGCCAGAAACTCTGGATCGTTGATCATCCGAAGAATTGATGTCAGGTACGCCAATTATGCTTCTCGTAATAGTTGGCTGGTGGAAGCTATGCTCAACTTTGACATTATGGTGGATAGGTGATAATAAAAGGAGGTTTCCAATGAAAGGAGGGAATGGAAAGAATTTTTAGGGGGCAAAAATTTCATCAAATATGTGATATGCTAAAAATGGCTCGAAAAGAGACTGCAGCGAAAACATTCGATAACCAATCGTTAATTCTTGCTTAAAATGGACGGATTTTTTAAGTGATCCTCATGCTACCGCAGTATTTTGTCCATTCGTACATGGGAATTGGATTTTCACATTGTCAAAACAATTATAGTTTCCATACCAAGAAAAAAAATAGCAAATAGCGTCCATGCAAACCCAAGCCGATAGATTTATCAAAACTTTTTTTACACATAACTAGTACCTCGAAAAGGCCGGTAGCAAAGATAAGGCCAGTAAAACAGGAAGGATATGATACATATCGATCTTATTGGTGATATCTTTAAATAGCCAGGTGTGGAGTACTTATAACTGACACGTGTAGTTTACTAATAGGTGTGTGAACGTGAAGGAAGCCATAGAAGTAGATAATTCATATTTTCGTGCCCTATATTTGTTGTTTGAAGAAATGACGTGATTTTACTGGGCTGGTCATTGAACTATCTTGTTCATTGAATGTGACTGTCTAGCGTGGGGTTCTGTGGTTTGATTTTAGATCCAGGTAAGGTGTTATGTCGTGGTGTCCCGGAAGTTTAAGACCCCCGCTTCTCATGCATGAGAGTCCGAAACGTACCAACGGCAAGTACCAATGTGACTCTTTCCAAATGTACGTTTTAAGAATATTCAGACACCACTGACAAACGGTGAAGGAAAACATCGTGAGGAAACCTGGGCTTATAGTTTCTAATTATAAGTTTGAAATCGCCAACCCGTATTCAGCAAGCGTGGTGATTAATGGTCAAACCTTCTCCGTGTGAGAAGGGACTGCTTAGCAGTGGGCATTTATAGACTGTTGATGTAAAGGTGCTAAAGATGTTTTCGAGATTCCAACACTAGCTATTCGAAATTGAGTTAGGTGATTGGTTATTGGATACGCCCGTCTTCAATTCCACTGGATTTATACGACTAGTGCAAAGTGGATGTTTCATTGTACACCATTTTTTTTAAAGAGACAAGCCCACCACAACCTCTCAAAACCGCTGCAACTCCTGTAAGCCAAGATCTACAGTAGACACAACCATGACAACACCGGAACACTGAAGTCCGGCGCTTCCCAGGGACATGAATAACTGTATTGGTTCCCGCAACGAAGTGAATCAGAAGATATTATAAGAGAAGAAAAAAATTTTAACTTCTTTCCAAAAAAGTTTCATTAAAAATTATGATAATTAGCAGTTTGACAATTTAATTAGTGCCAGTACTAATCTGTACGATTCATTTGTGTAATAAATAATTCAATTCTGATCAACTACTGCAATAGAAACCTATGGTGTTACAAGTTTGCATTAGTTACGGTGTAAGGTTGCTCTCAAACTACAATCCTATTATTTCCTCTGCGGAATTCTAAACAGTCAGTCAGTCAGTAAAACATTTTAATTCAAAACCTAATTTATCGGTGCATTAATTTGATTACTCAAATTTAGTACTATTTTAGTATTGTAGTGTTAATATTATTCATAGACCAGATAATATCGAGAACACCGTTATGCATCATTTAATTGATTTAAACATAGTTTTTTGATAATAAATTATTTTACAGTAGTTTATTAGTTTATTAAAAAACTGCTTTTTGGTATTAAAACTTTAAAAAACTGCTTTTTGGTATTAAAACGTTATTAACAGTTGGTTTCGTTGTTAGGATTATGTACGGGTTCCAATTTTAGTAGCATTATATAAAACCAGTTAGTTGTTTGGTAACTTTTCTGGCTAATATTTTGGAATTTAGATTTTATGGCGTGATTTCGTTTATTAGGCGTAAGATTAGTATGCTCGTTTAAACTCCAAATGTATTTTCCTTCTGTTTACTGCATTTTTGTTGTCATTTTTAGTAATGTAAGAGATTCTTACGGATAAAAGTAAGTAACCCAAACTACCTGCATGCAAAATTGTATCTAATTACATTCAGTATTTTAACATACTACTGTCAGTTTTGAATGAAACTCCACAAATTCTCAGAGTTCAAAAATCTTATTAGGACCTGGCTCATTATATCCAACACTAAACTCGGGCTAAGCCCCAAAATAGGCAGTAAACTAAAAAACACTATAACAATTCAACATTTTTTATTGTAACTCATTTCATTATGGTCTTTTTACTGGTTCCGAGGCAGGGTCGTGGCCAGTTGATCAGATTAGGAGCTCTAACCGGTTTATCGAAAACATCCCGAAGAAAAAAATAACGAAAAAAACAACACTAATAACAACAAATAACGAGGTACGGCTAGTGATGGACGGGTGTCGATATGCACGTGAGAAAAGTTATCGATAAAACCGAGTCTGACGAGAGATTATTCTCGTATGATTGATGGTAATGTGCCGTTATCGTCAGCGATGAAAGACAAGATATAGTACTCCAAGTAGTTGAGACATCTTTATGTTTATATGTTACAATGAATGTTAACAAGTTTTAAATTGAAGTGTACTCATTGAAGTACGTGTATTAATCTTTGTAGACAACTTTAAAGACACATGTCGTCGTTAGTTTGTTAGCAAACCGTTATGATATTATGGACACTACAAAGCGTAGGTTTTGCCAATTATATTTTGATAGATTTATAACATCAATTTGTTACAAATCTTTTTATCAGGTCATAAGATCAATCGATCATGGTACAATTATCGACAAACCGCATCCCTACGAAGGTGGGGCAAGATGAAATTATACGAAAATATTGTAACGATAGTGACAGATGATTATAAGCTGGCGATAAAACATACATAATTCTGAGTTAATGGCCCGGAGCAGTGCGGCATTAAATCCACGTAATACTGGCCTTAAAGTTGGTACGAAATCAATTTCACATCACTAGACCGGACGATTTATGGATAAGATCGATTATCGTGTACATGAAAGGGTTTTGGGTGTAATATGTGGTTTATTTATGGAGTATGATGGTAAAGGAAAAAGTAAAGGAAGTGTTTAATGAGATCATGTAAAGTTAAGGATATTTTTAAGAAGCGCTATTCTTAGCGGTTTAGTGAGCCTTTTAGGGTTATTTCTTGTAGTAATGGTGCACTTTAGGCGATATGGTGAAGATGTTGAATACAAGGATTCAGGTTCTCACGGATATTTAGTTTCAAAATTATTTGTAACTACATTTTTAAAGCTTGAACGTACTAAAGTGTTAGCAAAGACTTACACAGGATCTCTGGGTACTTCTAATTTCATATCATAATAGAAATGAATGCTATTACCTTGATAAATATAAAAGCATACCTATCCGAGTTTCTAGAGCTTCTATCATAGTGTTAGACTAAAACAAGTTCTTATATATTAATATATAAAAACCTTCTGTTTCAAGCCCGCTAGCTTTTAATTCACATCGTAAATCAAAGCGGTAAGATAGTAATTCCATATAACTAATGATATTGAGATTTATTGGTCCAAACTATACAGTGATATGTATGAGTTATAATTATATTTATATATTATGTGTAAGTTTAACTGTTGAGTCTGTTTCATTATTAGATTCATATCAATTGGGGAATATTTGTCGGTTTTTAGTGTTGTATCCCGGATTAAAGTTGTTCTTTATTTAGTTTTGTTGGTTGTTTTTTGTAGCGAAATCGGTCTTGGACAGCCATTACAACTGGACTTTAAAAGAGACGGACCTCTGAGTTTGTTTCGGCATTTCTGACAGAGTAGTCAGTTAGGAAATGTCGACGACAACGTTCGCTTGATAAAATTGACATATAAAAGTGTTGCCCAGTCCAATTTGCAGAAATAAATTCATTTGTTTCATTTCAAGTGATATAGTAAGGATTTTTATAAGGTCAACCTTTGAGGAGCTGCGGATTGCCTAACGCGGGATACCGGGGATTCAAAGCAGGAGTAGGAACACTGTCTCTCGCCGCCTTGAGTGTAGGCAGTCATTGAATGATATTCCCTCCTCAAATAAAGTACCCTTTAAAAGTTTTGTAAAGGAATCAGTCTCAGAAATAGCCATTTTATGTGATACAGTATGGAATTTTTTAAGGCTAACCTTTAAGATGAGAGAACCTATAAATAGGTACTTTATATTATCTATTTTAAGGTAGTATATGGTAAACTTGGTAATAAATAGGTACAAAGAGTAGATACTCACCAAACACAGGACTGAGGTCCGACTTTACCGATAGTTTACCGGGATAAGGCTCGCCGGACTTCTCCTGAAACAAAAACAAAAAAATAACATTAATAACTATATACATATCTCTAATAAAATATCCTAACAATATGACGACATTGACAGATTACGTATGTCACTGGTACATTTCAGGGGACAATTGTATATTTTTTGTACTAGTATACTTAGCTAGTTTAGTCTAACCGTAATCCACAATCATAAGTGCTCAAGAAACAATACAACTCGAAACAAAAAGAAATATCTACCCCTACAGAACAGACCCCTAAAAACAAAAACTTAGTTATAAGTTAAGATAATCAACTAACTAATATAAAAAGAGATCCAATCATGTGATTTGATCGGATTTCCCATAAAACAGAAGATGTTTCCGCTTTTATTTTATTAGTTGGAGTGTTATGGTGTGGGATCCCATCGTTGGGAATCAGTAGACCGGTTAAAATCATTACAGCTTGGGTTATTGAAGTAGTATTATAGTAGTAAGGGATATGGGAATGTGTCGTGTGTTAGATATTTTGATGTAAGACTGAAAAATGTGTTTGGTTTCCTTTCTGCTGTACCTAAGTGTGAATTGCAATTTTCGGTAATAAGATTTTGGAATTAAAAAGAAATGGGGATTGCAATATAGGGTTTTAAGATGACCGTGAGACAATTATCAATATAGAGAGAGAAAAACGAAAAGGATTTTATTAAAATACAGAGTGATATTTACTTATTATGGCAAATAAAATAATTTTGATAAACGACAAATCGGTCCAGCCATTCCAGAGAATAGCCAGTGCAAACAGACAGACAGACAAAAATTGTAAGAAATATGTATTTAAATATTACAAACAGACACTCTATTTTATTTATCGGAATAGATATAACTACATCCCTAGTTATCCCTACAGACAGAAGTAATAAAAATTCATCCAGAGTGAAAACTATCCGTCGTCGACTAATACCTAGTTAAACACAAGTAACTAAACTCCCAAAATGTATCGCCTGACCACCATAATAGTGACCTCTCAATAAGTACCTCCGTTAACATGGGGTCGTAATTGGATAAGTCAGAATCAGTTTACCCCACTCGTACGTGTTTACCCCAAATCAAGGGTAATACATTTCCCCAATTTTCGGGTAATTTTTACGTGAGATTACACATGTTTGTGTTAAACTATTTGTCTATTTGTCTGTTTGGCAGTTTGTTTATTGTTGAAGAGGTTTGGGGTGGAGTTTAATTCATTTGTTCTTTTGATAGAAAGATGAATGAGAGTAATTTGTTGATGGTTTTTAGTTTTTGGAGGGAATAATGTTAAGAATATTTTAAATTAAGATTATTTATAAAAAGTATGAATGAAAGTATTTTGCTGCAACCTTTTTAGGACTAGCTAAACAATTCGGTTACGTTAGAATAAAGTTTAAATATGGTCATGACTTATGTCATAAATAACTCATTGGTAAAAGAAGAAGCGAGATTTTTTTTCAATAAGTCTTTATTCCATGTTCAAAACTTTTATCTACACGATAGTCACGTCGCTATTTACAAAAAAATACACCAATAAACGAGTCAAACTAAGAAAAACATAATAAAAACATGTATTTTAGGCAATAAATGGCACTCGACATTATTGGCATTAAAGTGGAATGCCTCAGTTAACATATTTCACATAACATTTTACCCCGGGCTTTTGTTCAGGCATTTTAATAAAATAAAATCTATTTCATATTTTTGTATCATGCTGTATATTTGGGTTGGTTTTTATTTTTTTACATTTTGTTCTTATATTATTATTTTTGATATGTAGCTATAGTGTTAAAACTAGAAGAATATTTTGTGATGGATTAATTTAATATTAACCGGATTGTTTTTTTTTAAAAAGAGTAAGTAGTAGTTTAGTGTGTGAACAATTTTGGAATTCGATTGATTAGACACCATGGGTCTTCTTGGACCCCCCCCCTCCCCCCCCGAAGAATACTATTCTTGAATCGATTTAAGGAGATTGGTAAGAGACTTGTATTAGATTATGTTTTAGTACAATAGAAACAAGATGATGTAGGTTTAAGTTAAGACCTTCTTTTACAGTGATACTTGTACCAAGACTTAGTATAAGCATAGCAACTTATGTATCCGTTGACAGTTTTTCAGAATTAATTGGATACTATGTCCACAAGCATTCAATGAATTAAATAACAAACATCGTCTTTATATATATAATTCTTCTGTGAGTGTGTATGTTACTGAACTTCTCTCAAACGACTGGACCGATTTTCATGAAATTTAGATCCACAAATTAGCCCGGCAGATGGCGCTGCAGTCGGTTTCTAGGTTATTTATCTATACCTATTATTACAGGACAACGTCTGTCGGGTCCGCTAGTATTAATATAAAACAATACAAATATGGACGGCAGAAAGTGTGAAGATGTAACTGACATGGGATGAAACTTACTAGTCTTAAAATAACGATTGATTTACAATAATAACCCTTATTATCTGGATATAAGGTCAGTGTTACGTTGTCACGGACATGTGGTGCATAAGAGTTAAGGATGTCAAGTCAAGAAAATTGTCGGTAAATAATAATTATGTACTTTATTATTATTGGTTAATTTTATGGTACTGAGGTTTAGGGTTGAACGTCTTGAAAAAAATTAAACTTTTAGATAAATCTTTGGTTATTCTGACAAGTAGAAGCTGCACAGTACAATGAAAAATAAAGATTAGTCGTTGGTTTACAAGAACAGTATTATTAAACGTAGCTGTTTAATAGTAATGGACGGAAATCCCCAGAGATCTATCCTTAAATACATCAATGATCATAAATCTCTTTGAAATTTTTCAAGAGTCTAGGCACTCCAGGCTCTAAATTAGGTGATTTAAAAGAACTCTAATAACGTAACTATCTCAGCAAATTGTACTAGCAATTTCATTCAACAAATAACTGAATGAACAACAGACAATAAACTAAATAAAACCATAATATATAAATAAACAGAATTACGGTAACATGATGTTTGACAACCATACTTTAAAACGCGCGCCCGTCTCGCCCGGGGCCACCAATTACAGCTGACCCTACAATGAATTTCCCTTATATCAATCACTAGCTTCACGCCTGTGGTTTCACTCGCGACGCATTTAAAATTATCTCAAGTAGGCTTCGCTATTTTTATATAAGGACTAGGACAAATTATAGTCTAAGTTATTTAAAGAAAACTAAGCTTTGAGTAAGTTCAGGAATTTTGTAAGACAAACCACAAGTTTTGCTGAAAACAGACGAACAATGGTGTTTTTTCTTGATAATATTTACTAACGTAACTAAGGCTTTGCTTCAAATTGCTTCCCTACTCCTAACTATATGTATGCAAAATTTCAAAAAAAATGGTTAAACAGATAAAGCGTATAGAGATAACAAACAGACAAACTTACTTTCGTCCTTAAATATTAGTTAATTTTACTTAGTCGTGTCAGCCCTGACTCCTCAGTCCAGTTTGTACTTTTTGTTCAACCAAAAAGTGTTGATTAAATTCTTGTTACAAACTCGTTTTTGGACACGTCAAATGAGTGTCAAAATAAGTTTTAATTATCGATTGTAAAACATTGTTTGTCGTGTATTTGTTTGGATTTGTTTTGTCATTTGATTAGTGATTAACGATAAGTTTTGTTTAAGTTAAACTTTATGTAGTATTGTTAAAGTTACGACTATGGTGATTATCGCTTTTAGATTCCAGTGTAATAGAAATATATTTTCCAATAACAACAGCATTAATATAGAATTTAATAGACTTTGCGCTCACGCACAAATAAAATACAAAACTAACATTTTACAACAATTAATCTGACACCAAAGTCACCAGAACATCGCCATTTGCAGTCGAAACAAAAGAATAATAAAAATAAACGCTCCATTGAAACTATTCTACAATAATATTACATTGTAAAAGGTAAAGATAAAAAAAGAAAGATGGATTCACGTTCGCCTGACATTCGATCGCAGCGACATCTAGATATAATGATAAAAGCAATTAAGCCCCTTTAAGGAACATAATTGATGGTCACCGTGCAACCAGTCCAGGGTAGTATCGGAAAAAAATAGTTCAATAGCAACTACCCTTCATTAATTACATTTGACATACAACTGATACGTGTAACATTTACTTTTAAATGTAAAGTTGATTAATTAAAGAGAAACGCCCATATTGGTATAACGGAATTAATTTCGCTATCAAATATGTCGAAGACAAATCGGTTTTGGGAATGTTGTACAAACTCCATCGATAGATGGCGTTAAAAAAAACGCACGCGCATTGGTAACTTGTTAACATCGTTTTTCGATTTTTTTAAGTTTAACATTGCACACAAAATTGTAATAAGTTTCATAATGTTAATGAAAATGTTCGACAATAATTTAAACTGTTAAAAAAGGTTGCATGATGTAAAAAGTTAACATGCAAGCCCCTTTAACTGCAGACATGTTTTTTCATCGATGCCGTGTCTTTATGTTAGATAATATGCAATTAAGGGCCTAAACAGTCACTTTTAATTACGACTATCAAATGACATTTTGTATAAATAGTTTAGCAAAAAAATAAGCACCTTTGGAACATATGCAGAGCGTATTACGATACAAGTATTTGGTCTCGTTTCGATTGTGTCGTCAGGTAATAAAAGAATTTATACATGGTGTTTAATATTCTATGGGGTGTGTAAGTATGTATGTACTATGTTTTATGGGGTCACCCTAGTCGTTAGTTTGTGTAAGTAGTCAAGTTAGTAATAGTGCTGAAGTAAAATACAATGATAGTCAATTATATTTCTTTTATGTAGTTGCCATGCACATTATTGCTAACATTTGAATTCCTAGTCCAATCTAGTCATATTTAACATGTCATAGATTGATTAGAAATGCCTAATAAGTAAAAACATCGGGACAAAACTAGAATTCTCTGGAAATCTTACAAAAATAGGTAAGTAGAGTAAAAAAATAGGTACTAAGGTTCAGTACCTAATCCAGATTATGTCCAATGATAGTAATCTTAT